TTGATTTGAAAATTTTTAAATTGAAAAAAAAAAAAAAAAAAAAAAAAAAATTTTTTTTTTTTTTTTTTTTTTTTTTGTGAAAATGTATCCTAAATATAACAATCTTCCTCACAGATTAATGGCACCAGGCAGCGTGATCCAGTTTGTCCACAAACACATCGGTCTGGTTCCAGGCTGGGGCGGCGCTGCGCGACTCGTCCGCATCGTTGGAAGCCAGAATGCTCTCAAGCTGCTTGGCGGCGCCGTGAAAGTGGACCCTGAACGCGGCCTTTACGTCGGACTGGCAGACGGAGTCCTGGAGGCCGACGGGGACGCCCCAAGTGCCGGCACCCCCCTGCAGCAGGCCGAAGACTGGCTCCGCCGCTACACTGAAGGACCAGTCCCTGTGATCCAGGCGGTGAAAAAAGTAGTTCTGGCAGGAAGAGAACTCCCCCTGCTCGAGGCTCTGCAGACGGAGAAGGAGGTGTTTGGGACGGTGTGGGGCGCTCCGGCTAATTTGCGAGCCTTGGCCAGCAAGTCCAAGCACAAATAACTTGGCCCCAGCGTCCTGAGATTTGTCCAGATTAGCAAAGATCAGCGTGTGCTGCTTCTGGGTCGGATTCAGTGAGATGAGGCTGATTGGTGTTTGATGTTTCCAAACTTTTGGTTCACTGAAACCATTTTAAAGCTGCAGTATGTAACTTTTACAAAAAAAAGTAAATATTTTTTATATATTTGTTGAAACTGTCACCATGTTATGAAGGTATAGTATGAGACAGATAATCTGTGAAAAAAATCGAGCGCTGTCCTTGTCCCATTGCGATCTTCAAACAACCAATCAGAGCGTGGAGGCGGGTCTTAGTGCTGTCAATCATAGCCATGTGTGAGCATATTGCGAATGCTAAGGCTAGTTAGCATGACCAACCGATGACGGCGGATAAAGTGTTTTCCTGTAATGGTAAGTTGTTTCTCCACCATTCATGTTTAAATGGATAATACAGAATGGGAGTTTAATTTTTTTTTTTTTTTTGTGAAAATCTGTTTGCGTATGCCAGTTGCAAGATATTCTGAGTGACAAACATCATCAATGTCTGCATATCATTCCTCCTACATTAGACCAGAGCAACCTTTTAACTCACAGGGTTTGGATTGTGCTCCGAGCATCATCAGATTTCTGCAACGAGCCAAAGTGAAATCCCAGAGACGTGGTGTGTGTATGAATAATTTTCATTCGCGGATCTATCCAAGCAGTGCTCGAAAACCACAGATGTGCTCAAACTGCAGCAGCAGGACGGACCCCTGGCAGCCGGCAGACCTTTATCTCGTGCTGCTGTTCCAGAGGTCGCGTTTCCTGGCGGAGGTCCCAGAGAGAGCGTTCAAAATGCGCCGTGAGCAGAATACCAAACGCCTACAAGGTGAACAGAAAGTCCTGGTGAATAGCAGCCCACCATGGATGTATCCTCCCAGGAAAGCTGAACAATGTGGCAATGATGAACTTAAACTATATGAACGCATCAAGAGACTTTTCAGTGTCACGCATAAAATGAATCACTCTTATTAAAAAAAAAAAAAATCCATTTTATTGTATTGCATAATATAAGGGAGCTATTTTGTGATTTATGGATTTATAGAAATGCTATATATTTGTGCCGACAATCGGAATCTTCACACTTCAACCAAAACTGCATGATTGTTGGGGCTCATTAGTAATTAGTTAACTAATTAGTAATCAGGCTCCTTGTTTTGCAATGTTCTATTTAAAGAAATGGAAACGAAACATGAACTTTTAACTACTGAAGAAGCTTAACTTCTACGAGGATCAGAATATCAGCCGATTATTAGTCTCTATCAAGAGGAAATCAATTAGGGATGGGAGTTTATTGTAATAAAAAAATTCATAAAGAATTTGGACAATAAATTCTAAATGTTGGATAACCCCAAAAACTGAATTATTTTTGTACCGTTTACTGTTTCATGAGTACATCACACTTTACGTAACTGTTGTCCTGAAAAAGCCTGTTTAGAAATGTCTTTGTAAGAGCAGCATTTGGGTATGTGGGCCTATGATTTCTGTCAGGCAGTCAAGGATGTACAGTTACCTTAAAAAAATGTTTCGGGTCGTTTTTCCTTATAATGCCACAAAATCAACTTTTAAGTCCATAATCGCCCAACCTGCCCACCTCTACGATCAACGTCTCGAGTCTAAAGGCTTTGAGCTGATTTAGTCCTGAGGGAAAAGTTTGGATTTAATTCATTTAAAGCTGGAAGACAGTAAAGGATCCCAGAAGGCTCTTGGTTCTGACTCAGTTTGCTGGTTCTGCATATTGAATTTGGATCCAAGTTGCTAAAGGTATAACTAGTAAGCTTGCTGAAGGATCAGACTGGTTGATTTCCATCTTTTATAATTACAAGACAAGTTTGCTTTACGGTTTAACGCATTAGTCTCCATTTAAAGTTTTGAATATTATTACATAATTTCAAAAGTTTACCGAGCCCTAAACTAGACCAATTAGCTGTTTTTTGTCAGACGAGTGAAGTATGAGATCCTGTTATCTCTGCAATAAAATACATCTCATTACATCAGTAAGATAAATACTTGAATGACCACAAATGTTTTTAGCATGATGGAATGATGAAAAAAGTTTATTCTTAAATTACAAACCATGTAACAAAAGTCTGAAGCCAAAACAGTTACACAAACTTTATTCTCCAGAATGGAAAGTCAAAAAAAAAAAAAAAAGATGATTTAATAGAAAAATAACATCACTTGAAATTTCTCCAGGATGGACAGAAACTAGAGCTTGTTTTTGTTCTTTTATGTCCTCTGACATACATTTAACCGCCATAAGAAATGGAGATAATTAAAACCCATCAGCTCTCCAAATCCTCTCAACCAGACAGTAGTGTTCAAATAAAACTCTCTTCAAAAAAACGACAAATCACAAAACTTTGGGCACGCTTGAGAATTGATCAGTCAGGGATGTTGGGAACAGTAACAGAGCTGCTTTAAAGTAAAAAATAAAATAAAACACACACAAAAAAACAAACACCAATATTTCACATTAAAATGCCAATTCCTTAAGGCTGGGCACCAATAAAACAAATAATCACAACTTCTAATGCTTACATTCATTTCAAATAGACATCAATCTTTACGATAAGTTTGGGTTTCAATGAACTAATCTGAAATAAAAATAAATCGCAAGGCAGCCACACATTTACCTGCCTCCTAAATCTGCATTGTTAAATATTAAGCAAGTAATTTAAACATCAAAGTAGCTTTAGAAGCATGATGGGAGTTTGTTTTTTTAGTTTTCTATCTGTGTCTGTAGATAAAACCAGACGAGGTTTCTCCTTAAAGGAACATTAGCTCAGTTAATTGAATTATTGGCCCAGAGAAAGCAGCTGACTGGGTTAGAAACTAGGATCAAGTTGATCAAATTCAGTGCAATGGAGGTCGAGTCAGGTGACATTTCTGCGTCAGCCAAACGGTTAGATGATCCCAAAGCAGCCATTTATGAAGATGACCGCTCTCTGACTCGGCCTCACAGAAGCCTTCAGGGTTCTGGATCGTAGATGAAAACCAGGCTTAGATTTGGGCAAAACGTGTTTGTGAGTAAAGTTCACAGTGTAGCTTCAACGTTTTTTGAAACCTAAACAGAATACAATCTATAGGCATCAAATTAAAGTAACGCAGACAACTGACGGGAAGTCTTTAACCTCTCATGATGATGTGTTAAATATAAACTTGAAAGATCATTTACATCCCAACCACGTCGTCTCTGTCTCAGTTTGAGGGCATGAGCGGCTGACTGGTGGCGTTGAGAAAACAAATCCAAACCAATAGACAGAAAATGCTAGAAAAGAACCGCGGAGCTGTTTGTGTGTGAGCGTGACATGCCTCACTTCTTCCACCTCAGATCTGCATCTGAGCAAACTGCAGCATAAATTAAATGGAGTGGATTCACACCTCAGTCACTGTACACTGGCCGTCTGGCATCCTGGACCTCCCACTGCTGTGGGAAGACGGAGCGGGAGATGCCGACGCGGCGCGGGGGGGCACCCTGTCCTCCGGGGGTGGTCTCCGTCTGCGTGGCCAGTCCTCCCAAGGCTCCGCGTGGTCGCCGTCTCCCGCCTCTTCTTCCTCCTCCTCCTCCTCCTCTTCGTCGTCGCTCCAGTCTCCGGAGGCGGACTCCTCCACGGAGGTGTGAGGGTCTGAGGACCTGGAGGGGGACGTGTCTTCCTGCTCGTCATCCTGTCCCTCCCCCTCCCCGCCCTCTGACCGGTCGTGAGGCGGGGCTGACCTGGGGCTGATCTGCAGCTGGGAGAGAGAGTCCTCCACTGTGGGGCTGGTACCGGGCCCCGGTTGGCCCCCAAGAGACGGGGGGGGCCGGGCGGCAGCGGAGGGGGCCGGAGCGGCGGTGGGGACGCCGGCGGCCTGCGGCGGAGCGCCTGCCGTCGTGGTGTCGGCGCCATCTGCAGAGTTCTCCCGACCCGCCGAGCTCAGCGCCCCAGCGACGGCGTCAGCGTCCAACCGCAGCCCGGCCACGCCCTTCTTGGGAATGTCGATAACGTCTCTTTTCATCTTGCGCCGGCGGCCGTGCTCGTTGCGCCGGTACTGCACCATGTTCTCCAGGTCGGCGACGTACAGGAAGCCGGCGATCAGCATCTCGGCCGTCTTCTTCCCCTTGGAGAAGGCGTCCTCCAGCTCCCGGCTCGTCCTCTCGTCGTACTGCCACCAGCCGTTGCGGCCCTCGTAGTACCAGGCGTGGTCGCTCGTCGCCCCGCTGCGGCCGCCCGCCGACGCCTTCAGCTCCTCCGGAGAGAGGAGCGTGGGCCTTTCCAGGAAGTCGTCCGGCACTTCCTGCCTGCAGAGGGCGCAGCGTTTGCTCTGCCAGGAAGCGCCCTTGACGCACAGGAAGCAGAAGACGTGATGGCACGGCAACTGGACGGGGTGGACGCAGCTCTGCAGACAGATGGCGCACTCCGGCACAGACAGGGCAGGGGAAGAGCCGTTGGAGTCGGAGCAGGACGATTCGGCGCCGCTTCCGCTACCGCCGCCTCCGCCGCCACTGCCCTTCTTGCTGGATGGGAGCGAGCTCACGGAGTGGTCCACCTCGCCACAGCTAGCCATCCTTATCGAGCGCTGCAGAACAGGAGACGATTAAGTTCCCCACCAGAAACCAGATGTTTACATACACTGCCACAGCTGCATTTCCATTGACAGTAAAATTGCGCCAATTGAAATGATAAAAAATGTATTTGCTAAATCTAAACATGGCAATTTCAATAAAATGTTTTTGCACTACAAATGGTTGATTTTTTTTTTCCTGTATCACAATTGTTGTATTTCGAAAAGCTACAAAAGAAACACTTTTCTCTCTTCACATGAGTCATGATCACCAACAAGATTGATAATTGATAATGACAAGTTTAATAACTTATCATGCAAACAAACTTCTGCCACAACCTACTATCACTACGGGGACAGTGTGCTCAAGGTAATCTCCAACGCCAGTTCTTCACGACAATTTTTTTGCCTGTAGGTCAAAAAGTTACAACCGTGGTCTAGTCTGACTAAAGTACTTTCTTCCACACGTTTGCCAAATCTCCAACATGGCTTGTGGCAACTTGCACGTCTTATGATCGTAAGACATAAGATGTACAAAGACCGAATTTGTGCACTGTACAACTAGTTGGGCTCTGAAGGAAATTTGCTTCATAAAATCTTTTTTTTGAAGTATCATGGTATCATATTCCTAGTTATATGTATAAAAAAACAAAAACAAAAGAAGAAATCCATGTCATTTTCTATGTACTCCACAATTTCATACTACACTCCATTGACCTAGCACAAAAATAAATTTAGTGTTTGTTGTGATGTAACACGAGGATTGTGGTAACGTGCCTCGCTTTCGCACACATGATTTTTAACACTTACCTAAAGTTGTCAATGCAGATGAATCATCGGGAGAGCTTCTGAACCTTCAAACCACCCACTGGAGAAACAAAAAAAATGAAAAACAAAACAGTCAGATGAAACTTGAACAAACTAGAACGTGAAATCAAGCTACTTATTGTGTGTGTGTGTGTGTGTGTGTGTGTTTTTTTTGTCTTTTACCCTACGAGGTAAAGAGGTGGACTCTTATTCTTGTATTTACAGTGAAAAACTTAAAGTTCACGTTAACACATTAAACTGTGTGTAACATGAGAAGGTACTGTAGGGGAACAAAGGGATGCTCTGTTTACAGGCGACAATAAGGGAACTGTGCCGCTTTTTGCTAACTTAATCTCAGCTGTCCTTATGACGGGGCATGTGATTGAAATAATAACGGAGTTTGTTTTAACATATACATTTAACACTATATTGCGGGCAATTTGAAAAGAAAGGGTGTTTAGCTAACAAATAACAGCTGCGCAACACCGTGTCATGGTTCTGTTTAACCCTGAGAAGTTTAAACAGAGGTCACAATGTAGGGTTCAAGAGCGGTAAAACCCTTCATTTCAGTAAAACCTGCTGTAGCTAGCCAAAGCTATCTGGGCTAAGTGGTCAGCCTCCAGTAAATAGACGGATCTCATTTGACGGCGCTACCTTCTTCCAGCAGGACGATATAAACAGGAGAGGGGAAAACACAAGACACCACAACGATAAACTACCCACCATATCTTTAAATCTCTTTCTACTGGCCTTCTTCACGGTCGAAACTCGTCGTATCAGAGCCGTACGAAACGCAAGTACATCGACTTCCAATGTTAACTGGCTTTGTTTTCCTCTCAAAGAGAAGCTGAGATAAACGACACAACGTAGCCGAGCGACCTTACGTCACTGGACGTCCAATTCATATGGTCCAATCACACGAGACGATGCATGAAAACAAAGGGTTCTTTTTTTTTTAAAGGAAATACTAAAATAAAAAAATCTTGATTTTTTTTTATAACAAATTAATGGAAAATAAAGCAAAAATAAATAGAATACATTTACTAAAAACAAACAAAAATAACTCGGAATAATAAAACAAATAGGTAAGATTGAGTTACTCTGGGTTCTGTGAGAATTAACAAACTAGGTATTCTAACAAAACAGGTTCTAAATACAGGAAACAGGAAAGACCATCAACAGTGGAATCAAAAATGGACTAGAGTGCAAAGGAGACAGCATTCATATCAATTACAGAGAGACATGACCTGTTGAAGTTGGGGAAAATCACTAGACTTGCTTCGGGAAAGAATGCTGAGATTTTGAATGCTGTAGAAAACATGAAAGACACATAGAAAGTATCAAGTTATTCAAAGATAACTCTCATTAACATGAAAACTCTTGACAGACCTGCAGAGAATCACTCTTCTAAAAGAATGGCAAAAAGAAAAGCATTTGACTTGTGGTGGGGTCACAGCAGACATGTGGAAGGTGTTCTGATCAAATGTGAACACTAAACCTTTTGACCAAGATGCAATGTGCTGCAGAAAAGTAATGCACTCTAAGCACACCATCCTTACTGTGAAACATGGAAGTGGCAGCAACATGCTGTGTTTTACTTCAGGAGGAACAGGGATGCTGGTCAGAGTTGATGGGAGGATGGATGGAATCAATTAAAAGGGCAATACTAGAGGGAAACCTATTTAAAGCTTCAAACATTTAACATTTTGTACCTATTTGTTAAAGAGCTACAAATTTCCAGTTAGTTTTTAGCACAGATATAAGACTTTACAAAATCGTGCAACAATGAAGATGAAGAAGGGCTTGCATTTACTGATAGTTCTTGGAAGCACAGTAACAAAACAAACTTATTTTTTTACAACCTTGCTATAAATAAAACTTCTGCTCATTTCTTAGTCATTAAGAACATGAAAAACCACTGAAAAATGTAAGACATAGTTTCACATACAGTGGATATACATAAAAGGTTGGACACAGGCATGCTTGAAATGAAGTAATGCATGGATGTGAAATAATAAGAAAGGGATACATGGCTTCAAACATATTCTTGTCAATACTGTAAAAGAGCTTAAACTCTATCAATATTGGACAAAGAGCACATGTGAATGTCATTTGTCAAGTCTTACCACAGATTCTCAATTGGATTTAGGTCTGGGCTTTGGCTAGCTTATGCTAACCCATGAGCATACCTTAATCTAAACCATGTTTATGTTCTTTATTTGTGTCTTACAGTGAACCTCCCATTCATCTTCCTGGTAACTCTGACCAGCTTCCCCATCCTCGCTAAAGAACAGTCTGCTCAGAGCATGATGCTGCTATGGTCAGTGTGTTCAGGGTGATGTTTAACATTAGTATTTCCTTCACACACAATGCGGGACATTGTGTGTGAAATTAAAAAGTTTCAAATTTGGTCTTCCAGAACAGCCAAACAAGATACATTAACTGTTCAATTTCTGTGGCAAAGTGAAAACTATTCTTTTTTGCTCCTAATGAAAGTACATTGGTTGAACTGAATCCTAACTAGGGATATCAAATTATAATATGCATGCTAGCTGCAATTTTCAGATTTTAACATGCAATTTTGTTTTACAAAGCAATTCATGCATTAATTTGTATTAAGCTCACACAGAAATCTCAATAAATGATAGCCTATTGAAGAATATGGTTGCAAAGTGACAAAATTCTTTGTTATTATTATATATCAAATCATTTTGTACCTTATTGACATCATTTTTGGAAAGTAACATGTTATAAATTCTTTTGCAGGGCACTGTGTGAGCGATCTGATCCACACTCCCAAACAGTAGATGGCAGTAGTGCGCCATTAATGTCGACGCCGACCGCCGCTCAACAACAACGAGAAGAAGAAACCGGAGTGTTCCTGTTCGCTCGTTGCTAGAGGACGTTGGTGTCACAGAGGAGAGCGGCTCGTCGACTATTCTTATTTTCCCCAAACTAACCTCAAAGAAGAACCGAAAGTAAGATGTTTTCCCGTGCAGTGAGACCCACCGTCGGCCTGGCTCGGAGCCTGTCCACCTCCTCGCAGAACCACGCCAAGGTGGCGGTGCTGGGCGCTTCTGGCGGCATAGGCCAGCCGCTCTCACTGCTGCTGAAGAACAGCCCCTTGGTGAGCCAGCTCTCCCTCTACGATATCGCCCACACGCCCGGGGTGGCCGCTGACCTCAGCCACATCGAGACCAGGGCCCAGGTGAGCGGCTACATAGGCCCCGACCAGCTGGGCGCCGCTCTGAAGGGCTGCGAAGTGGTGGTTATCCCCGCCGGCGTGCCGAGGAAACCCGGTATGACCCGAGACGACTTGTTCAACACCAACGCCACCATCGTAGCTAACCTGGCGGACGCTTGCGCACGCAACTGCCCCGAGGCCATGATCTGCATCATTGCCAACCCCGTGAACTCCACCATACCCATTACGTCGGAGGTGATGAAGAAGCACGGCGTGTATAACCCCAACAGGGTGTTCGGTGTCACCACCTTGGACATTGTCAGAGCCAACACGTTTGTGGCGGAGCTCAAAGGCTTGGACCCGGCTCGGGTCAACGTCCCGGTGATTGGCGGTCACGCTGGGAAGACCATTATCCCCCTGATCTCCCAGTGCACCCCTAAGGTCGAGTTTCCTTCCGACCAGCTCACCGCCCTGACCGAGAGGATCCAGGAGGCCGGTACGGAGGTGGTGAAAGCCAAGGCGGGGGCGGGGTCCGCCACCCTGTCCATGGCGTACGCAGGTGCCCGCTTCACCTTTTCCGTCCTGGACGCCATGAACGGGAAGGAGGGCGTGGTCGAGTGTGCCTTCGTCAGATCTGAGGAGACGGAGTGCAAGTACTTCTCCACGCCGCTGCTGCTCGGCAAGAATGGCATCGAGAAGAACCTGGGGCTGGGCAAGCTGTCTGCGTTTGAGGAGAAGCTGGTGGCCGACGCCATGGGGGAGCTGAAGGCTTCCATCAAGAAGGGCGAGGACTTTGTGGCCAAGATGAAGTAATCAGGAGTCGGTTGAGTCAAGAAAACCAGCTGTGATGGATAATTTGTTCGTCTTACAAGGCATCAGACTAACTAAAGATCCATCAGTGTTTCCTCTCTTTTTCTGTTGGCAGTTGGGTCCTTTTCTTTTTGTTTGACTTTTATTCCTCTTTACCAACCACAGCTTTCTTCTGTGTGTATAATTCGTGCCCATTCTCTACCGTACTGTGATTCGTTTTTAGTTTTGCAAATTTAAATGCAGTATGTATTTGCATAGACTTTTCTGCTGTGAACAAGGAGGGAACGCTGTCATATGTCTACTGATGCAAAAAAAACGGTTGTTATTACTGAAGAGCAAAATATTCACTCCACCAATAAACAGACTAGCTTTAAAATGCTTCCTTTCTCTTACCTTTCTTGCATAATAAGGGTTTAAAAGGGTGAAAAGGTCACTGATCAGGATGTCTGGTCAGGTTTCTTTGCGCAGGGCCGGACTTTAGCAAGGGCTTTCCAAGGGCAGAAACCTGGGGATCAAAAAATACATGTTGTATTCATAGAACTAATGTGTTGCTAAAGAAGTATAATACAAGGTTAAAAAGCCCAAATCACTGAGATTTTTATGTATATAATCTGAAACATTTTAAATTATTTGAGAATGATATCTGACACCCAAACTGTGTCAGTGTCTGTGCATTGTCACCACACACAGGCCTGGGGTGGTTAGTGTAACATTTTGCATTTGTTATTTTTATAGGTTCTAGAAATAATTCTATTGACAATTAAGTTTTGTTTGGGTTGTCTTTTTTTTCTTTTTTTTTCATAGTATTAACAGAAGAAAAGGAGAAAACATCGCAAAGTCAGAACACATCTAATAGCCTGCTTTTATGGGATCACTGCTATGCCCAGCAGCATGCCAGAGTACGAAGACATTTTAAGAAAGTACAAAAACAAAGATGAATTCATAAGAAAGTATACTGCTATAAAAGGCATGAAAACCACTAAGTCGATGTGTACCTTTCAATCTGTTGCATACATAGACTGGTAGAGATGAGGTAAAACTGGCTCTAGCCCAGGGCTCATATTCTTTTAAATCCAGCACTGAGGGTGGCAGCTAAAACTGGGATCCCAAATCAGCAAGTTTATGATCTAGAGTTCTTTGGAAATTCAGTTAAATAATTATAAATCACATCTGCATTGAACACATGAAGACAAATACTAAAAATACCTAAAAAAAAAAAAAAAAGATCTGACAAATGTATCACATGTTTATATTATTTCACTCCTGCTTAATTGACCATAGTGGAAACAAATTCTCAACCAGAAGCCATGGTCACAAATCAGAAGCTGAACAGCTTTAGGAGCCACAGTTTTATGAATCAACAATTTACATATTTAACATTTAATATTGAAAGCTGTTGAAATGTACAATGACTAATCATAATTTTTTTCTAGGAATTTACACTAGTTGATTATTAAATGTGGTAGGCTATCAAGCACTTTATGACACCACTAGATAACACAGAAGCATGTTTGTTTCTCAAGCTAACTCTGGACTGTCCCAGCAGTTCTTAGCTGATTAGCATTGTTGCTAATCACCTAAGAACTAATCAGGGTTTATGGAGCTGGACAAACAACACGCACAAATAGAAACCATTACAGCTTTATTTTACATACAGTTTTTTTTTTGTGTTCTGTTTGATGAGCTTTATTTGGAGCACAGAATCTATTTACACAAAAGGAGGGGAGAAAAAAAAAATAGTGCTCCGGAAGATTTAGCACTTCTTTGGATAAACTTTGCTTTCATCCCAGACGTACATATTTCAGTTTTGGACACGGCACTCAGCTTTCCCTACATGTGTCAGTATGAAGTTGGCAAGAGCTAATACTCATATTTTTGTTCTTTACAAAATTTCCACCAGATAGATCTACACAACAAGTACAACAATAATAATAAACTGTTCTACACACAGTGTCTTTCAGAAGTATTCTCGCACTTTGAACTTTTTTTTTTTTTTTCATTTTGCCGAGTCACAAGCACAAACGTCCAGATATTTAATTTGGATTTTAAGGGACAGCCCAACAAGTGGTGAATAGTTGTGAAGTAAAAGGTAATATGCTAAAAACGTTTAATTTTGGTCACATTGAACCAGAGCACCTTTTACCACAGATGTGTTCTCATTTCTTTGTTTCAGCAATTGCTTTCTTCTTGACACTCCTCCATTAAGGATAGATTTTTAGAGTTGCCTTGGTCCTCTTGACTGCGTCTTAGATTTATGTTCTCCTTTTCTGGCCTATCAGTTAACATGGACACCCTTATCTTGGTAGATTTACAGTGGTGCTGTACTTTTCTAATTTTATGATGGCGAACTAAACAGAGCATCATGTGATTTTTAAAGCTTGGTTTAATGTTTTATAACCTAACACTACTTCTTGCTGAGCCCTTTGGTTTTCCTAATGCTCTTTGTTCACTAATGTTCTCTAACAAACTTTATTTATAACCTATTCCTGTGTTATAATCAGATTAAGTTATGAAAATGTTGAGTTTATTTACAAATCAGGTGACATCTGAAAGCAGTACATTGCTTTGTACAAGATATTGTTGTCCAAAGAAATGTATTGTTGCTTATGGACAAAGGAACAACTGGAGACTTAAGTGTCACATCAGTCACTAATACGTGACTGATGTCTAGTATGTGTGATTGATGTCACACATATTAGATTAAAGGGGGTTGAATGCAAGTCACACTATTCAAATTTTTATTTGTAGAAAAAAGATAAAACTATAGATTTTCTTTTCATTTCACAATTTGCACCAGTTTATGTTGGTCTAGTACATCAAATCTCTGTAAAATACATCAAAGTTTATGGTTGTAAAGCGACAAAATGCAAAAATAAAAAAGTTCAATGGATGTAAATACTTTTGCAAAGCACTGCAATGCTGTAAAATCAATCTACATTTGGAACCACAGATACACATCGTTGTACCAAAGCTCCATTAAATAACCGTATGAACAAGCACATATGTCTCCATCTCAGTCAGTTTGTCTGATGGTCCTCTGCAGTCACAGAGTGTTCCCAGTTTCCAGACAGCAGCGTCTCCATAAAGCTTTCACGTGAGACACTTTGAACGGTGATGCAGTTTTTGAGATCAAAAGGGCTTATTACAGTCCATGAATAACGCTGATGTAAAAACGGTCTGTTGAAACCATACAAGTAGCAGCAACACCCCTGTAAGGAGGGGTCAAAAAGGGGAGAGATAGTAGACGGGGGGCGGGGGGCAGGGGGACATCCCAACCCCTCTGAGGGGTTGGGATGTCATGGAGCAGGAAGGAAGGGGAGACAACCAGAGGTGGGGGTCGGTCATCGTCTGTCCCCAGCTTTATTGCACGAGGCCGTCTTCAGGAGAGATTGTCTGTGAGTCGTGGCCTCTCCGGTGTCGGTTCTCCGTTTTGTTCCTGTTATCAGAGTCTTCCCGTTCACCCGCATCCCTTTCCCGCTCCCGCTCCCGCTTCCTCTCCCTCCGACCCTCCTGGCTCTCCTTGTCCTTGCGGTTGTTGCGATTCCGCCTCTCTTTTCGGTCGGTCTTCCTCCGTGCTCCTGAAAACCGAGGAAATTTGACAAGGGAAGAAGATTAGTGTAGTTCAGCTGAGTTCATTGTTATTCAGGCTGAAGTTATTTGTTGACAGGAATTTTCTCAGGATAAAAGTCATAGTTTCAGTGCATGAATTTGGTCTTAGTAAAGAATAAAAAGGAAATGTCTCACAGTTAAAACCAGATGTTTACATACACTGAAATTATAGCCAAGTGTAAACACTATGGGAATGTCCAGCCACCATGCTGCTAAGGAAGAATCAGGTTCTGTTGCTTTCAGATAAACAAACATCTCAAAACATCAGACAGGAAGTTAGACTTTGGGCACAAGTGGTTCTTCCAAATGGACAACACAGTTCTTAGCTCTATCCCATGAGATATCTGTGGCCAGATCTGTGTAAGCAAGGCGGCCTATAAACCTGATTCAATAAGGCCAGTTCTGCCTGTAGAGCAAAGGTCCGCAAACTATTGTGGACATCTTGTATTTCAACTTATGAATGTAAAGAAAACAAAAAAAACAAACAAACAAACAAACAAACAAACAAACAAAATTATAAAACAGAAGAAACTCTGCTAATCTCTGATTACCTACCTATTTATTCTTAGACAGCAAGTGAAAAATCTCATCCTTTACATAATATTTGTATAAATCTGATTTTAATTGTAAATCTGAGTGCATTTCATGTCGTATGAATTTAATAAACCTTAAATAAAATTTCCTTAACTACAGGAACCACAAAAACAGACTGACTCCTAATCAGGAGCATTGTTGATTTTTTATATTTTTTTTTTACCACTAGGTGTCACTCTTTATCAACAAGTAGCTGCTCCGCTATCAGCCTGTCAGCTGTTGTGGCACTCTGCATGTGATGAGCAGACCTTTGTCGAAAATAGAAAGCCTTTAAATAACACCCCCCAATCCCTCACCCCCAATTTTATCTGTTCTTGCAACACTGTCTCATAAACAAAAGTGGGAGTTTTTGGAATGCTGAAGGTTTTATCTCTGCCTGAGCCGTGGTTATTAATGATAATAACAAGATATACCCTCAGGGAGGTTGGAGACGGGACCTACGAGTGAAAGCAGAGGAGGCCCTTTCCTGTTGTTGTACGGGTGGCGCTCATGTGTGAGTGGAACGGAGCAGCACGGCCTGCTGTTGGCTGCCTGTTTGGGGATTGTGAAACTGCTGAAGTAGGCAGTGGGCTCAGACACAGGGAGAGAGAGGAAAAGAGAGATCTGTCTCCCCTGTCTGCAAGCTTTTTTGCCTCCCGCCTCACCCCCTACATGCATTAATCACGGCAGGTCTCTGGTTGGATCTGGAACCAGGTCCGACTTAAGCCTTTTACACCGGTGTTACGAGAGTCTCCCTAACTACTGTGCAACGTTTCCTGCTCAACGTTCTGAGACGAAAAGAGGCCTTGAGATGGAAATGGGGACGCAACAATGTTCAAGTGTTGACTGCAACAGATGGCTTGTTTTCAGTGCAACAGAAGTGATAGCAAAGGGAGCCGGTTTCATGGATGGATGAGCCGATGGATAGATGGATGGACGGGGTAATCTGGTCCACTGACTCATCCAGGGTATGCCCTCATCCTCTATAAACACAGGAAGTCCCCTTCGCTCTCATTGTTTTCTCTGTCCTGACACCATAACTATTTACAAGTTCAGTGGATTAGTCATACTGTAGCCCCAGTGCTTTTGTTGAACCAGAGCAGAAACCTAATCCATGCCAGTGTTGAGATGATTAGCGGAGTGTTTATCAAGCCAACATGCATTTGGTTTGCTGGAACAGTTTCCGACAGGCTAAACGTAAACTGTGAGTGGACGTGCGGATAACGGTCCCTGAATGGGACACCTGCGTTGTTTTACAACATTTACCGTAGACACTCTCAAATTTCCATTTATTATGAGTTGCTATGAAAAACTTGAAGGTACAGAGAGCTTGGCTTGTTCAAAAATGAAAAGTAAAGATCTTTATTCATTGCTCGAAGATTGAAGTTTGGGATAAATAATTTTCTTGGAACCAATGTGCGTCTTATAGGACTTTATGTATGATTAATGATTAGGTGGCGATGGTGGAAGGAGTTCAATTCCACGGATGAAGCAAAACACTTTGTCCACCAGAATGTGAATGTGTGCATGAATGGGAATGACTGATTTCATTGTAAAGCGTCTTTACATTGCATTAGTGCAATAAGTTGTGAACAAGTTGTCTTGGTCATGTGTGATAGTAGGATAGCTTACGAGATGTGGTCACTGATCTGGTCTGTTGTGGTGATGAAAGATCTGATCCAAAGTCATGACTGGTTTGTACCTAATGACCCTTGACCTATGGTCATGAGATGTGGACTGTAATTAAAGGAGCTGAAAGGAACGCCCTCAGTACAGTGGTTGGGTGAAGAGCGAATGCAAGCAGCTTGAGGTGGAATCACTGCTTCTCAGCACTGGAAGAAATTGGTTTGGTTCAAGGAAGTGATTTTTGGAGGTTTTCCGTGCAAGTAGCACTCGGAGAAGACCGTGGAACAGAATTTGCTGGAGGGTCTATAAGTCTCTTCTGACCTGGAAACACCTTGGGAGGAATAGATCCACAATCCATTTTTGGATTGACGTGAAAAAATGGATATGTCAAGAAAACTGCAAAATTCCATGTGAAATGTTTGCTCCTAATTTTAATTTGTAGACATCCACAGGTTTTTCTTCTTTTTTTTTGTCCACACAGTTGATAAGTGTTTAGAATTGAATTTATTCCTGAGACAGATTCATGAGTGATCAAGATAGGATGGTTTTAGGTTATGGTCGGATATGTTTTGGTCAAGATGGACCATGTTGATAATGAAAAGGGAAGGGTTTGATAACAGAGTCTTGAGGCACCCCTAGTTTAACTGTAGCTGTATTCAGAGTCTTATCAAATGTAACAAACTGCTTCCTGTTAGATAAATAGTACTTAAATCAGGAAGGAGTTATACTGGTCATACCACGTAGGGGATAACAAGAGATGTATGAAAAAAACAAAAAAACCCTGATTGGTCCAAAGTTTTGAAGTAAGAAGTAAAACAGTGTGTGGAACAGCATGCTCACACAGAACAAGCTATTCACCAGTGCTGTGGTTCTCAGAAATGATGAATACCATTTGCAAGAACATGTTGCATTTGTTGTCTTGTTTCCCAGCATAAGTTTGTCTGTAACAGCAGCTTGTAGAAATCAAACACAAAGACACAAAGTAGAGCACTTGCCTGACTTAAGAACAAAGAGAAAAACTTTATAGAACATGAAATCTCCAAAAAGGACAATGGAGGAAAAAGCTATAACGAAAAGAAACCCTCAGGGAGCTAATAACTGAAAAGCCATCATGTTGTGTGTCGCTGACAGACAGAGCATAAGTGTTCAGAGGGATATTTAAAGAGACACTGTGGGTTTTATGTTGTTACATCCTCTGTGGCAGCCGTTCAGTCGGTGGGGGAGCTTTTGGCGGGAGACAGACCGGGATTAAAGGCCTTGGGCTGTCCCACAACTGGAATGCCTGCTGCATGGCTGCCAGGATGTCACCGTGGGGGTTGTGGTGTGAGTAATACTCACTCAGATATATACATACATGCTGAGTGGATGACTGACGGTAGCTTGTATAGCTTTATGTTTCTCAGTGTGCCTTTTTCTGCATGTGTTGAGCCCTGCAGACAGACAAATGGTCCATCTGGCTACAGAGACCTGGAAGGTGAAGCTCAGTACCACTGAAGGACAAATTAGTCAGAAATCATTTGAGGGAAGACAAATGAGGATGTGTGGGTATGTGTATTCATATTCAGTGGATTGTGATGAGGCTCAACTGGATGTCAGAGCTGATAGATCTGCACATAAAGGCCTGTGTGATGTCAGCATGAGGCTTGAGGGGATCCTTATTGTAGCTGTTGATTAACTATGCAAAATGAGAGTCAGGAGTTTATATAAAGATTAATGAAATACTACAGATGTCTTGATTTTTCAGATTGTTTCATGAGTAATAATTGCATATTACTCAGAAAGAGGGATGCAAAGTAAATGCAGGAACAGTAACACCGATACTAATCCTAATACCAATCCCAATACCAATACGAATATGCTTAAGTATGATATACCATCAAACTTCTAACTTTAGAAATTTTTGAGTTTTTTTTTTCCTTTGGAATTATTTTGATAAAAACTGAGGCAGATTTTAGATGAAGTTTAACAGGTGTCTACAAAATACTTTAATAACATAAACACAATAAACAGAAACAACAGAAGAACAAAAGAAATTTTGCTTTGATCCAAAATATTGATGCTTTGATGCGTAAATGACTTTAATAATTGAATTCCTCCTTTTCTGTTGGTTTCAAAACCACGATCTCCATCAAGGGACCAGAGTTAATTTTTTTTCTTCTTGTGAAAAAAAATAGAATGTACAGAATTGTAAAATAAGGTGTCAAAGGAAACTTGAAGTTGGTATTACTAGGAAAAGCCTCATTGGTGCACCTCTAAAGAAGTAAAAGTAATAAAAAAAATCATGCATTAAGAAGGAGAAGAAGATGTGAAAAACAAAATAACATTTGCCAACTACAGGAAGAGGAAAAGGAGACGCAGGGTGTGTGTGTGTGGAGGTGGAAGGGGTGGGTGGGGGGGAGAATAGCAGCTAAAGGAGAAAGCACAAAAAGAGGAAGAAGGGAAGAAGGATGTATCAGTGTTGGAGGGCTGCTGGAGGATTACTGGGGGCTCTCTGAGGTCAGGCCACTGACCCCCTAGCGTGTGCAGAACGTAAACACCGAGGAGAGGATGCGCCGAGGCAGATAATTAGCCTCCATTCACTGTGGAGTCTCTTGGAGATCAGGCAACTGAGTAATCATGAGGGTAGCACTGATAAGAGCGGTCTGCTCTTTCCGTCTCACTCTGTTTGCATCAGTTTCAGTTCAATCCAAATTAAGGTTTCAGGTCTCGGTCTGAGTGAATCGAAGTGCCACTGCGGCGCTTATGGCTTTCCTCGGCGTGTGTCTGCACGAAGGCCGTGTGTGTGAGGGGATGAACATCGAGATGCTGACAGACAGTGATTAAATGGGAGACAGAGGTTACATTTCCCAGTCCAACTCGTATCAGCTCTATAGCACTGGAATTTGAGCGCCTAGAAGCGTGTGCAGTTGTCTGGCCTGTTCAAAGCACACACAGCCTAGCTTTAGCTGGGCATATATGTCCTGCTATTGTGTGTGCATGCATGTGCGTGTGTGTGTGTGTGTGTGTGTGTGTATGGAGCAAATTATCGTGTGTGTATTAGCAGCTGTGGGGATAAACCAATACTGATCCCCTGGTCGCCTCGTGCCTCCCAAGAGGAGGATGTTGATGTTGAGCTGGCTGTCTCTGCTCCAGAGCCAACTGCTTTTTGCTGCATCACACACAGACACACACACACACACACACACACACACACACACGCAATGCACGCACGCATAGAAGCACAAGCACAGTGTTTGTTCTGTAAGTGTGAGGCCCCAAGGGACTGGATCTCAGCCTCCTACCCTGTCTGCAATCTGTCATGTAACACTGCAGAACCCCCAGAGGAAAAAAAAAACACAACCAGTCGTGGCCGACAACCGACCACCTTGGTACCCACAATTACACAAAAAAACCCCCCAAAAAACCTCCAAGTGGTTGTAAAATTGCTGCAGGCTGCAGATTTCAAAAAGACGAGCCTCGTCTGAAAGCAGTTTTCAGCCCATTCATTAGAAATCATAATGCTATTCCCTGTTTACTGAGAGCACAGAGAGAGGCTTTCACTGTTTCAAACCTAAAGTGGGATCTGGAGGGGGTGTCGGGGGGGTGGGGGGAGGTGAAAACCCCACAAAAAATACAGGGTGCCCATTGCAACATCCCACATGTGCCCCCCCCACTGTCCTGACTGCAGCCACAATGACAGTCGTCTGAATAAACAGTCAGAGTCCTGAGCGGAAGACAGGCTTGTTCTGGTTGTACAAACTGAAGCAGAGCGGTCTGGAATGCATGGAGCTGAAACCGAGCCATGTGTTCCAAACACAGCGTTGGCAGTGAACCTGAAGGATTGGGAGCAATTACCATTGGCTGGATTTGGTGGCTTTAATCGATACGTCCAGCTTTTAGGGTCATGTTGGCCTGGAGGGTTCTTTAATGAGGAGAGAGAGACGGAGCGAGGAGGTTTTATTTACCTTGACATCTCTTTTTCTTGACCAGACACTCTTTGACCTCAGAGATGTCTGGGCAGGGATTGCCAAACGGAGATGGATACTGCTGGACCTGCCTTGTGCGGGTCTCCTGGCCCCGTCTGAAACCGCAGGTTCTGCCCGACCGAGAGCAGGGGCTCCACTCACTCCACTCGCCCACCTCGCAGTGCACTAGCAGAGCAAACATGGAGAGGGAGAGGTGACAGTGAGGACTAAGTTTGTCTCCTTTCCTTGAGCACAAAGTATATTCATTCATCTAAAACATTTTCACATACTGAATGTGCTTTAAGGAGATTTGGCATTGGCAAGTCACTATTCTTTCCAATGCCAATGGTCGTTTACGCCCAGTCTCAATAAAAGACGCAGGTGCATCTCAATAAATTACAATAATATTTATTTCAGTAAAACAATTCATTAATTTGACTGATATTTTCAAACCTTTATTTCTGATAACTATGATAATTTTCCACTCAAAGTCAATAAAAGCTCGACATTTAAGATTCGAGTATAACACGGGACTTACCTTGTGGAGTGCACTCCATTAGTTTGTCATTGGGCTCATAGTCGTCTGGACAGATATGGTGGCACCTTCCATTCAGCTGATAAAGGCCAGGCCGGCACCGGGTGCACGTGTCACTGTTCACACACGATTCACACTCCGCAGAGCATCCTGCAGGAACATTCACACATCTGAGCTCAGAAAATACCACTATTTTCCCACAAGCCTTGAAAAAAGTAAAAAAAAAAAAAAGGAACCCCTCACTGGGAACGCACTCCCTCTGTGCGTCGCTGTGGACCATGCCTACAGGGCAGCTGTCCAGGCACTTGCCCAGGTGAAGGTAGAACCCCGCTCGGCAGCGCGTGCAGAAGTTCTTGTTAAAGCACGAGTCACACTCCGACCTGCACTCTGATAAAAAAAAAAAGAAAAAAAGAAAAAAACACCATCAATGATTATTAAAACACCTGTAGGTAAGTTGATGTTTCACTGGCTGGCTGCAGCACAACACTTAACCTAATTTAGTGACACACAGAGCAAGTTACCTCAGTATATTTGCTCATATTGCCATGTTAGTTAGTCTTAGAAGTAAATAAGAGCGAATGCCATTGGCATAATGCAAATCTGAAATGAAGTGTTCGTAGCTCTTGAACATTTCCAGATATTTTTACATCACTACTAAATATAGAGTGACGTGGTCATGATCATGTGACGTATTAGTTTACCAGTTATTGGACACCTCAAGGCAAATGGTTGCACTGGATTTCTTTAGAGTAAACAGAGCTGAATAAAAATGCAAACTATAAAATTTCAATAATGTGCAAATTGTACTGTGACAAAATGTAAAAAAAAAGAAATAGCTTGGTGTATGTTTAGTGGTTCTACTGTCTCTTTTACATAGAATACATAAAAGAAAATCCAACACAACGCTGCTATCACTCTGTCAAAGTTGGGTTTAGACTTTAGCTAAAGCACTCCACCGTGTTTCTCTCAATTTGTTGCTAGCTTTTTACTCACTCGTACAAGTGTTTCTCTCAGGTGACCGGGTGCCGTAAAAGCCAGGAGGACAGGAAGTCATGCACACCCCGATCTGTTTCATCCCGATCCTCTCCAAATGCATGAAGAGACGAGGCTTGCAGGACAGACAGCCATTGTAGTCTGAGCAGGTCAGACAGCCACTCTGCTGGCACCCCGAGCTGCCACCGGCCATCGCTGTAGACAGAAGCAGACAACTTTCATCATGATAAACAAAACACTAAGATTACATCTGAGAAAAGTCCGGGGTTTGACCAGTCACATGGCAGCTTGTTTTTACTGGTTTTTACAAGGTGTATGAGAAGCAAAATGTGCCAAAATTCAGTCTCACACTTTCAGATGCAGTCGATGCTGGCCTATTGAAAAATGCATGACAGGTTAAGTCCTGATTTTGACAAACATCAAATGGTGTCACCTAGTCAAAAACTGAAATAAAAAATAAACGGTCTTTGAACGTCCCTAACCAGACAAAAAATGTTTAATTAACTTAATCAGAACGTAGTCAGGCATCACAGCTATTAGCTGAGGACACTTCAAGCTTTTGATGTACTGAGCTGAGTAAAACATCGCAAACAGAACATCTGCATAAACTCATTTGTTGAATGTATATATGGCATTTCTAAGCTGTGATGCTCATACTGTAACTGTTTGCACCATGTCCAAAAAAAACAAAAAAACGGTGAATGCTAAATTACCAGACGTGTAGAAAGGCAGAACTTGTGTGCTGTTTACCAAATGCAACAGAATTTACAATGTCACTGAAATGAAAGGCAGATACACAACAGAGTTGAAGATATTACATTTAAATATCATTATAAGTGGCAACCCATCCCACATAACTAAGAGCTGGTCCGACAACTCTGATTTTAGTTTGTAGTAAAAATGATATTACAGCGTAGGTGTTTCAAAAAGTGCATTCAAGTCTTTCCAGAATGACACTACTGTGCACATGAGACCCCTCTGCAGTTCAACCTTAAACACTGCATCCAACCTATATAACAAAATAAAGACATATTGGTGGATTATTTGTTGTACAGCTGCCTTTAGTCAACAAATAGAATAAATGGACTGAACCTCAATATGGATTTTCTACTCATACTGACCAGTTAAATCAATCCTGCAGCAAAGTTTGATTCACAAAGCCACAATATTCATACTCTCACACATTGATCAGGAGAGCAGCAGGTAAAATTAGGGTTAAGTGCCTTGCTCAGTGGCACATCGATATGTGCTAGGAAGAAGCTGAAGGTAAAACCATAAAACCACCACTAAAAACGTTCAGTTTCTTCTACATCTACATCTCTTAAGTCTGTAACGAGGACTCACGAATCATCATAAGAATGAACAATAATTAGCAAAAAAAGCTAAATGTAAAACACGACACTATGGGTTATTTACCCAGTCACCATGAACTCTTACATCAACAATTGTTGATGATGACATTTCATCATCAACAACAATTGGACATTAACGTTTATTCATGTCGACAGCCGGTTTTAGACCTGTCTTGAAATTTCAACCTTGCATGGAACAGATCAGTGTAGCTGCTACAAGTTATGTCATGAAATCAGGCTGAGTACATTGATCACTCAGGTCACGCCTGAACAGTGACATGCACAATGCAGCATTTCAGCAGTAGCTAGCATTACAGTAACGGTTTCCTCTGTTGTTTTCTCTTTACCTGAAGGAACATCCCAAACCTTAGACGTCAAATGACTAAGCCAGATTCAGATAAATTATGGAGTAAAACGAAGTCCACAGATCTTTTTCATATTAGATAGAAAAGCCTTTGATTGAGGTATACCAAGGTTAAAGGAGTTATGATTTTAAAACAATTGAACCTTTATGTCATTTCCAGCCTTTGATTTGAAGCTCTTTAGCAAAAAGCCACAGAAAGAGTCAAAGGAAACTCAGAAACACAGAGGGACACACAAACCCTCATCCCTTCTCATCTCATCAGGTCATTTTCCCAAAAGTCCTACGGGATAATCAAGAGGTTTTAGGTAAATGTAAGATGGGCTTTTTACCTTCCTTTTGCTCAGCAGTTTTTGTCGCCTATGACCTCTCTCAAAAATGTTCATTTTTCCCCAGTCAGTCTGTCACTGTAATATGATGAACACTGACCCTATCTGCGATATGAGCGGTCTGAAGCGGTTTAGTCGTTGTTCTGGGTTCTGTTGCAGCCTCCTGGACTCGTCATCCAGGTACTCTTGGAGCATTTTGGTATGTGGGCCATTCCTGAGAAGCTTCCTACTGTTCTTTAGCTTCACGCCATGATTGAAGCAGCACACCAGTCCCTCAAAAGTAAGCTCAAGCCAAATCCAAAACACAAATCTCAGCCTCTCCTTTGATATTTGCATCTACAGATGCGTCCAGTCGGTGCCACCTACAGCATCATATTATGTACTAAAACTGCAAAAAAAAAAAAAGTGCTTCTCCCATTTCACGTTACTTGACCTAGTTGAGTTAATTCTCCGTCTCCATCCCTAATGAAGTTTATAAGGTACAGAGGTGCGTCATGGTAGGTTTGGGATTAGGGTTTGGTTTTCCTCCGTCATCCTATCATCACATGGAAATGCCTTATAAACTTTGAGTATTTCTCTATCCAGGCCTTAGCTGCCAGTTCATCATAGATCACAGACACTTTGTTTGAAATATCCTGACTGTCTTTATGAGAGCCGTCCACCAGCCGACTTGCATTCCTGCTAAGCTGCGCAGAGACAGGAATCCAGCCAGGCTGAACCTCGGCTGGACTGCCTGCATCTCTGTAGCGCACCAACGAAGACGAATGCATGGGAAATGAGCAGGTTTTCATCTTTGTTTGATTTATGAAATGACAGAAGAAACACTTAAGCAATTGTGTTAGATGGGCAGTTATATGAAAAATGTTAACCTATTTATCTAGGATTGTTCATATATTGATGTTTAATCTTATATTTTATTCATATCTGGAAGATAAAGTGATTTCACTGCATTTCAACAACAAAGATGAACCTCCTTTTATTCACAAAACATGTTTTATTTTCTTGTGGATAAATTTAGGATCCTAGAAAAAATGTAGGATTTGTAAATGTCTGAAATGACTTTAACGAGACACTTAGTGTAGCGATAACAGGTCTGAAGTTTGCACCTCAATGAGATCGAGGTCTTGATTTCAATTCAGTCCAGCTCTTTGGGTCAATTTTTTTCTTTCTTTTATTGAACAGATGGTTCCCACATTTTATAAAACCATGCTCTGATGTGATAAAATTCATGGTGGATTATGTGACGGCAAACTGTCCAGGTCCTGCTGCAGCAAAACATCCCCAAACCATCAGACTTACACCTCCACTTTGTTTGTGGCAACATCTGATGTCCAGATGTTTGAGTTCCAATTATTCCTCATCAGAAATGCATATTTTGCAAAAAAAAAAGATGTTACAAAAAGTTTTTTTTCTCTCCAGTCTTGTTATGGTTTACTCATCCTACTTGGGTTATTCTGCATTGCTGTAGTTCATTTTAAGTGTCCAAACGTGTCACAAAAATGTGTTTTTTCCCCCCTTTTTTACATGAGTGTACCTCTGTTCTACATTCTATCATGCAAACATCACCAATGACACACACACACACACACAGAGACACACGCACACTACTTGCGCCCAGAATTAAAATTTCTTTTGTAGGCATCATCATCATCATTGCACACCGGAAGTTTGTGGCTTGGGTTCTGTCTACTGCTTGGTAATCCTGCTCTGTTAACTGAGAGGTCATTGACTCTCCTCTGAGTCCTATCCCCCTTTCTGTCCCTCCTGGTCTGTACTCGTTCCCCAAAACAATCCCTCCACCCTCCCTGATATCACTAAAAGTGTAGGATGTCTGCATCCTTGGAGGAAGCGATCTTAAATTGACTATTTATTGGCCCGTGGAAAGGTTGGGTGACTGCTCTTTATTCTATGTGAGAATGAAGGTGATGTTGCTCTCTCATCTACAAAGCAGAGCCACATGGACCAAGGGATGCTTTGAAAGGCAGCTGAATGGGCTCAGACTGAAAACACACTTTGTTTATTTGCGTTGGACAGCGGTCGCCTGACGGGTGCTTAAGATTTGTCTTCTGCACAGAATGCCGCCAGCAGAGTCTGTTCTTGAGGAAAAATATCATAAACCGAGGTTTTGTCTAGATGACCTTCCTGTTTGCATCCTGCCAACCCTGTTCAGAGGGAGGGCTTAGTGCTGGTTAGAGGAAATAAACAGCTAAAGGTCCTGAAACCTCTGAGAGTACAAAGAACGCCACGTATTTACACACGCAACACCGTTTATGCTCCTGGGACTTTTTTTTAAACGTTTGGTCAGTTTCAGTCAGTAATCAGTTTCATTTGGATTTTACTGATGGAGCTTCACATGGTGCCACATGTCTTTGCACCAAAGAGCAGGCCCGTGTTTAATTTGTTCTCAGTAGAAACATAGCTGTTTTATTGAAGAACATCAGTGACCAAACAGCAACATAAAGACCAGAGAGGGCAGGGAGAAGCTTAGAAAGAAGTTAAAAGCACGATTTGGCTATAAAGAAATGTTCCAATCTTTACGCTTCAAAAGCACAATTTTTAACTACGTATTTTTGGTCCAGTTTCTAGTTTAAATATCTTAGTACTCTTGAAATTGACAAAAATAACTTACAACAAATTTTTCTACAAACAACGGGAACTTGTTTTAAGTCAGTTACTCTGTAATATTTATAAAACTTGCTACTTCCAGAACTTAAAAGTGACTGATACTTTTTCGTCAATATTAAGAAACTTTTGACTTAAAACAAGCTTTCATATTATACTGAAAAGTTACTTGTAAGTTAGTATTGTCTTAATTTAAGTTTACTGAGATTTTTGCACTGGGAACTAGACCAAAAATATGTGGTAAGATTGTATTTTATTTTTTCTTGTAGTTAGTTATTAACTACATGGTTTCTTAATGGAGACCGGCAGTAGTGGACTTCTTAAATCTGGCTTTTATGAAAGAGTGAAAAGCAAAAAGCCACGGCTGGAAGAAAGAAATAAAAAAGTCCAGTTGAAAGTTTGCGGTAAGCCATGAGGGACACAGAGAACATGTTTAAACTTGGTGGTGGAAGCATCATGCTGCGGAGATGCCTTTCTTCTGCAGGGATGTGAAAAGAAGCTAGAACTGTTGAGAAGACGCATGAAGCTAAATACAGGTCAATCCAGGACGAACACATGTGGTGGACTCTGAAAGACGTGAGACAGAAGTAGATGGAAGCGTACCCACATGTTAGAACGGCTCAGTCAAAGTCCAAAACTAAGGGTGACTGACAATGCGAGACGGCATTTGAAAACCAAAGTTCACCAAAGATTTAGACTGAGCTCGAGCTAAGCTGCGAATAAGAATGAGCAAAAATAAAAAAAAGTTCTTGAGCTAGGGGAGCGGAATACAAATGCACGCCACACTTTTAAGTTTCTGATGGACAAGATATAGGAAGGCATGCATAATTGGGAACAGACAAAATGAGATATGGCTAGTTGTGCACTTTTGGCACTGCACTGATGGTCACTGCAGAAACATTTCAAATAAAGAACTATCCCTGCGGTCCAAATCGGAGCTCTAAATATCAAATCAACTTCTCCGCCGCAGGTGGCATGGATAAAAACATCACTCCAGAGCTCTGTCACCGCAGATCACAGACAGTTTTCAGATATGCTGACAAGTGATACGTGGAATATTCCAGTTATCGCTGCTCTCCTCAAACAGAATCAGTCACAGAGCCCATCTGGAGACCCTCAGTGATGCAGAGTGCGTGGGCAGAATAGAAAGAAAGAGAGAAAGAAAGAAAGAAAGAAAGAAAGAAAGAAAGAAAGAAAGAAAGAAAGAAAGAAAGAAAGAAAGAAAGAAAGAAAAAGAAAAAAGAACTTTATTTTATACTTATTTCAGAGTGGATAGACCTGGTCAGAGCCCAAGAAATGAGATATGATGTTGGACTTCTGGGAGATAAATGGGAGAAGAAATACCGGCAGAGCCTGGATGGAACATCTCATCTTCCTCACTGCTGCTGACAGCTTTGCATTAACAGTCACAAGAGGAGTTCAGATGACTGCAGCCATCATCTGGAGAAATATCTCCCAATTTAGAATAACGAGACGAATAGAGGGATATTCAACTCGTGGTGTCTGGACTGGATAAAGTTTGCTGGCTGAAATCTGCTGCGCTCGCCGCTAGAGAGCGACGCAGGAAGCTGGAGCTCCAGCTCAGAGCGGCAGCTGCGGGACTGCAAGTGGCTCCACACTCGTTTAATCAACCCAATTAAGTTCAATCACAATACAACAAAGATGGTGTGACAGAAAGTTGTGCGAGACGGAAAACAATCTCCAGACGGAAATGCTGCTGATTTCGTTAATATCACATAAAACACAAAAGCAAGAAAAAAAGACAAAGCATCTCAGACACGTCTCAAGCGTATCCAGTCCTGTGTGATTAAATTGACAGAAAGTTAAGCTATGATTAGGGAAAAGGTTACCTTTGATTTCTAAGTTAAAAAAACACACACACAAAAAAGAAGAAGAATTTGAGCAGCATTCCATAAATGAATGAATAATAATAATAGTAAAAAGATTTTATTTCTTCCAACCATATTCTGACCTTCCTGTGGAAACGTCAGACATCACGCCTATCTACTCACCTTTGTGCTGCCGGTGCCTGGAGCTGCTGTGCGGCTGACAACCAGAGTAATCCATGCAGTTCCAGATGATCAGAACAAAGGAGATCAATTGTAATTGCATAGTAGCCCAGAGGTGAGACTCCTAAAGCCAATGTCAATGTTCACCAAAACAAGTTGGCGTTTTTTCTCCTTCTTCTTCTTCTTGTTCTTTCTTTCTTTCTTTTTATTTTTGTGTAAATGTTTTCCTCCGCCTAAAGAGGTTGAAGCTCGGAAAACTCCTAAACGCAGCAGGACGCAGCCCAGCTGTGTGGTGTTATGTGGTGGCTGTAGCGTACCGTGGCCCAATGATGCCTGGGCCGTTTAGACTGTAACATCCTGGATAGGGTCCACATATGTGCCGAGAAAACAAGTCCTCGTTAGAGGTCCGTTATCCGTTCCGAGATGGGAAACATTTCCTTTAAAAAAAAAGAGGGAGAGAGAGAGAGAGAGAAAAAAAAACGCACTAACAGAAACAAACTCCAATTTCATTTGTTGCGCATATACGCAAAAACAGAATTAAACATTAGTATGTGAGTTTAAAAAAATGGTGAATAGAGAGGCTATAAGAAGGTTTTAGTGGAACACCGAAGAAGCCTGAAAAGTTAAATCCATTCGTCCGAACTCCAAATTAGGGAACCCTCTCCTCTCATCTGGTAGAGAGATGCGCCGTGCGTCCCAGAGTGTGTGGCTACGTTTACTGCGTCAGGCGCGCTTGTTCAGCTCAGCATCAGCTGGAGCACTCACAGGCGCAAGCAAACAAAGTAAAACAAGCAAACAAATAAACACAGAAGAAAAAAAACACTCAATCAGTATGAGGAATCATTAAAACGGATCTCCCAGCAGAGAGTTTCGCAGGTCTTGTAAAACCGACACCTCCTCCTGCTGCTGCCTCACCGTGTGTGAACCAAAGTAAATCTCCGCACTTTCAGCGCGTTTCTGCTTTGCGTGCAGGACTCATTCACTCCCTTGATGACTTCAGCCTTCTGCTCTCTCTCTCTCTCTCTCTCCTCTCTCTCTCTCCCCTCTCTCTATGAGCTCTAAAGTTTATTTAGAGGGCATGCCCCCCGCGTCAGAGAGAGAGAGGGAGACGCGCTGAACGGATTCAGATGCGCACTGTGCTTTCTCTTATTCCTCCTTTGAGTTTGTTCCTCTGCTGGTGCTCATCCGCAGTCTGAATGTGGAAATGATTGTTTGGATTACTGAACTATTTATGCACAGTAAAAACTGCTGGGTTAAAAATAACCCAATACGTAACCCAGCGCTGGGT